GGCACCTCATCCTATACCTAAGAAGGATCACTTTCTCCCTCAACCTGATGGTTAAATCAATGAGGGCATGGACTCAAATGTGTCTATCCTGAGGCCCTGTGCACAAGCCCTGAGGCAAGAGATGACAGCTGGAGAGGAAGGCACTTATGGGGGAAGTTGGTTCCTTGAGTGTTTCCGTGCATTTAGGAGGGGAAATCCCACCAAGACTGCCGGATGGTAATCGAAGTTTCCCTTCTCACATAAACCAGTACCTCTACTGTGTCCCACAGTGTGCTGGTTCCTGGAACAAGCCATTGTCTTGACCTGGTCAAGCATGTAAGGCTTGTACCCAGGACTAGTCCCTTCCTTTGGGGCCTGCCAAGGGCGAGGAGCTATCCACTTCGCCCAGCAGCCACCCCAAATGCGTCTCAGCTCTAAGTCCCCCTTAATAAACTCTGGCCAGGCTGGAGTGGCTGGCCTTTCTTTGGCCTTTCCCTGCCCTCTGCTTTGGGAGGTGGATTTTGTCTCGAGGCTTTCCCCTGGGTCTGCATGTGCTAACAAAGGACATCTGAGGAGTGAGGCTGGAGAGTTAATTAGGTCAGATTGACAAGGGTTGTCGCCATGTCGCACAAGGGAGAGACATGATGTTCCACTCAGAACCATTCTTCAAGCCGCAAGTGGATTGGAGGCTGTGCAGTAACTATAGAGAACAGCCTGAGAGTGACAGTGAGGCCAGGAAAGTGGAATGGATAGACTAGGAGGGGCAAAGTCAGCATGGATGGAGTGTGGTGAACAGATGAGTCAACCAGAAGCCAGCTCAGGGGTGGGCTCCGGGGAATTACATTCAATTCCGTACATGTCATTGGAAGTGCCTGTGACATACCCACCTGTGCTCGTGAGGGGTCACCAGGTACAGGTGCCAATGAAGCCAGAGAGAATGAAATCACCCAGGAAGAACTGAAAAACTCGGGAGAATTTCTAGGTCAAAGGGGACTAAGAGGAGCAAGTTCTAGGGGAGGTCCCACTCCCTGCCCGGAGGCCCACCTCCCATGGCCTTGGCTCCTGCCCAAGTTCATCCCAGACTTCCAAGTTCTTCTGCTCTCCAACCCGGCCTTTCTAACACTCAAGTCCTGCTCGTCTGGTCCAGTCTGTGACAGGAGTCGAGGAAGTCACGACATACACTCTTGAAGCATTAACTTTATTTCAGTAACTTTTTTTTTTATGTTAGACACTGAACAATTATAATGCAGAACAAAAAACTCGTTTTATAAAAGGATATGACAAGGTTTCGATGTTTTGTGCTTTCGACTCCTCAGGCTCTGTATTCTCACAAGAACTAAGCATACATTTTATGTGCAATGTGAATTATACAGGTGCCATTTTGTTTTGTTTGCTCACTGTGTCATCTTCAGTGAAAAGTACCCCCATTCTGTTAAAAAAAAGTCCTCCCAACTTCTTTATCCTATCTGTCAAATAGGTAGCCAAGTATAGTACAAGTCACCCTCCCTAATTCAAATCCTGAATCTTACAGTCAATTAATCTTTGACAAAAGAGCCAAGGATTTACTACAAAGGACAGTCTCTGCAATAAATGGTGCTGGGAAAACTGGATATCCACACAAAAAAGTATGAAATTGGACTTATTATCTGACATCATATAAAAAAATCAACTCAAAATGGATTAAAGACATAAACATGAGCCCTGAAACTGTAAAATTCCTAGAAGAAAGCAAAGGGGAAACTCTTTTGATATTGGTCTTGACAATAATTTTTTGAATCTGACACCAAAAGCACAAGCAACAAAAGCAAAAACAAACAAATGGGACTAAATCAAACTAAAAGTGTCTGCACAGCAAGGGAAACCATCAACAAAGTGAAAAGGCACCTATGCAATGGGAGAAAATATCTGCAAACCATGTATCTGATAATCGGTTAATATCCAAAAAATATAAGGAACTCATACAACAGCAAAAAAATAAATAACCCAACTTAAAAATGAGCAAATGACCTGAATAAACATTTTTTAAAAGACATACAAGTAGCAAACAAGTAGCTAAAAAAAGTGCTCAACGCCACTCATCATTAGAAAAATGCGAATCAAAACCACAATGAGATGTCACCTCACACCTGTCAAAATGGTTACTGTCAGTAAATCAACAAATGTTGGTGAGGATGTGGAGGAAAGGGAACCCTGGTGCCCTGCTGGTAGGAATGTAGGTTGGCATAGCCACTATGGAAAACAGTATGAAGGCTCTTCAGAAAATTAAAAATGGAGCTGCCACATGATCCAGCAATCCCACTTTGGGGTGTATGTCTGAAGGAAATGAAATCACTATCTCAGAGGTATCTGCACTCTTGTGTTCACTGCAGCATTATTTATAATAGCCAAGATATGGGAACAACCTAAGTATCTGTCTATGGATGAATGCATAAAATGTAATACATACACATATACACACACACGCACGTGCGCGCGCGGAATATTCAGCCTTAAGAAAGGAAATTCTGCCATATCCGACATGAAGGAACCTGGAGGATATGCTAAGTGAAATAAGCCAGACACAGAAAAACAAATACTGCATGACCTCACTTACATGTGGAATCGAACTCATAGAAACTGCAGAATGGTGGTTACCAAGAGCTGGGGGTGGGGGAAATGGGAAGATGTTGGTCCAAGGGTCCAAACTTTCAAGTGTAAGTTAGAGATCTAATGAACAGCATGGGGACTATAGTTAATATAGTCGCTAAACTTGAAAGTTGCAGACTAGATCTTAAGTATTCTCATCACACAGACACAAAGGTAACTGAGGTGACGGATATGTTAATTAGCTTGGCTGTGGTAATTATTTCACAATGTAAATCTTAAATATATACAAATTTTTATTTGTAAATCATACCTCAATCAAACCAGGGGAAAAATCCTGAATCTTCCATGCAACACGGCAGGCTTTAAAAAAAAGCTGTTAAGATGAACTACCTAATAAGTGTAAGGAGTAATGAGCAAATACATTCTAGAGCTCAGGAAGTGTCACTGTCATCACTTATGTATGCCTGGAGCTGCCAATGTCCAGAACTCCAGCCTCTTCAAGTCTGTTTTTAAAAATGAAACAAGCACAGTGAGAAGCACACCAGGGGGTGGTGGGGGCTATTCCTTTCTGGTTTGGAGACCCTCGTTCTAACCTTGAAGGATGCGTATAATTTCCTGAGGAGCTAACAAACGCCCCCTTTTTTTTTTTTAAAGAAAGGCAGACTGCCACATGAAGCGCCTCATTTGGCCGTGTCTGGGAATCTTGGAATCTTGACGACCCTACGTTCTCCAAGTGGACCTTGAGAGCTTTTTTGGAGGTTCTAGCAGGGGAGCGCAGCTACCCGTATACCCTTGACCAAAGAACTATCAGGGAAGGTCGTCCTCTTCGACCAAGCACGCAGCTTCGAGAGGGACGCACATGGAGCAGTGAGTAAGGGGACACCCGCCTAGCCAGCCAGATCAACCGAATCAACCCTGGCCATCAATGGGGGGACAGATGTCGCAGCCAGATGGCCCTCACATCCAACACACCACCATTTCTTAAGCTCATTCAAGTTGGGTTTCCATACTTGCTACAGGAGTCCTGCTGAATTCTGGAAACTGCAATGGAAGCGTTTGAAAGCCATCACAGGGCTATCAGGAAGGGGTATAGTCTCTGCTAGGACCACAAAGCTGTCCTCTTCAAACGGTGAGTAGAGTGAACAATGGCAGGCATGTGAACACTGCCCAGAGGTCACTCCATCAGCATGTTCAACCTCTCGGGGCTGTTCTTATGTGTCACTCTGGGTAAAGTGAGGCAGGTTCTGGTTTTAGACCTTCAAAGATACCACTCTACCAAGGAACAAAGGTCAGTTGAGTGCAGCTTCTACTTCCATATGCAACAGAGAAAAGTCAGGGCTACACAGATTTCAAGATCCCAGTGAAGGTCCGTGGGATCCAGCTGTCCCCGAACATGCAGGCCACATGCCAGCACGTGACACATGGAGATAGTGCCCACCAGGTACCACTACCTTTGCCAGATCAAGGTCCAGCTTAACCACAGCCTCTTCCCTACGATTCTCCCCCCATCCCCAACCCCTAATTTGTCAGTACCACATCAAAGTAGCTGACTCCCTTATCAGTATCAGTAGAAATTAAACAGGATTTAGTATCCACACAAGGCCTCCCAGAACACAGGTATAACCTTTAAAAGGTGAAAATAATTTTTATATTATATAATATATATAGTATTCCAGAAACCTTGTACCTAAGCAGGGAAAAAAATCCATCTTATTCACCCAAAGCACAAACGTGGAGTAAAAATTTTGAAATTCACAACTAAAATGCTTAGGGAATGTAATTTCTGCTTAATAGACCTGTCTGGTTGATGGGCTATCTTCTAAGAAACTTTCCTTAACCTACATAAATGGACCGGTCTATCTTGAACAAAGTCTGATAACAATGGTCTTTATGCTTCAGGTCATGATCAGTGCAGTCCTGGGTGTTCAGCTACCCTTAGCTGGGATTTTAATCACATTTAATCTCATTTTTAGAGTGCTGAAGCACACCATGTGTGACCTTTACATGGCTGATATTCTCTAATAAGAACTTTCTAGTCATGTTTTTCACATCCCCACTGGGTGTCACTGTCTGGGACAGCATGACAGTCACAGTATGACCCCGGAGGGGCAGCAACACGAAAACATGGGAACTGGTTAGAAAAGCTGAAGGACCCGTGTCCGTGTCCCTGGCCTGGTGCCTGGCAACCTGTTTTAACAAGCCTTCCAGGTGTCTGATTAGGCTGACGCTGGAAAGCCACTGCCAACAGAATCCTCACCTGAGGGCTCTTAACCTGGGGGCTGCGAACTCAGAGGCCAGAGGCAAATGTGCACATTCCTGGGGAGAAGCTGCCCAGCTGTCAACACGCTCAAAGGCACGTGAGCCTAGACACGGGTAAGTACCACTTTGAGTCATCACATTCAGCAGAACTCACTTCTGCAAATATACACCAAGGCAACATTTTCTCCGAATCCTTTAATATTCACTTAAGTATTGAGGCACAAGCAATAAAACTGCAACTTTTGTTACAAGAAAGAAAATTTTTTATGATATCTGCATTATATACCAATGATCTCAATATTTCTACTCCAATAACATTTCATTAACACACTGGTCCAAAGGTTGATTTTAACAGGGTCAGAAAGGCAGGCAGGTGGATGGTAAAAATATCAAACTTCCTGAGGGATAAAAGGACTCAAACATTTACTGACTGCATACTTTGCACACTGTACTAGGTTTTACATACATTAAATGTGAATGTAATTCAAATCGAGTTAATAAAATTACCTGTTAAAAAAATAGCACTGCTACCAGGCAAGCCTGTTTTAAATGCTCTTTCACTTTAAGTGCAAATTATGGAACCCAACGATAGATCTTTGCCTAAAGAAGCACACTGGTGTGCATTTATTTCCATTTCCAAAGACTGTACACAAGAGTGCCACGTAAGCAATGGGACACTCAAACTGTCATCACTCTGCTTACATCTTGGGCTGCGCTCCATTTGGCCAGTGTCACAGTGACTGTCTGGTTCAACCACCTAACAGGTAACACTTTAGATAAGAAAACATGTTCAGCAATTATGTGTCAGGGAAAAAAAATTTTATCACCTAACAACCAGCTTTCAAAAATGGTACCTACCTTTAAAGCACCAAAACTGACATTTAAATAAGAAAATGTACTTGGCTTAATCAGCTCTAAAGTGAGGATACTGCTGCCTTTTCAATAAGCATTATATCAAATCTGCTGATTTTTCAGAAAATCAAGTGATACCCAGCGCTGACTGCATTACAGTTCTCCAGGGCACAGTCATCACACCCTCCAAATCTAAGTGAAGGGTGAGGACCCCTTCAAAGAGTCGTCTTTCTGCACCCGCTCTTATCTCACTCTTTTCCCCACCTGTATCCCCCTGACCCTGACCCTGACCTATGTGCATTCTTTGCTTTCCTCGGAAGGCTCCTTCTGATCACTCACTTCGCTGAGCCACTGCAGCAGAGGGCTGTTCCCAATCACTGACCAATCACCACACTGCTTTGGATTTGGGATCCTAGCAGTAAAACTGACTCACCAGCACCTCCCCGCTCCCTCAAAAGCAGGCTGTGTGTAACCACAAAAAACACACTGTTTAAAGGCTCAGGATCACCAACCTGGAAAGTACAGTTATTAACTGTGTGACTCACCTAGTTCTAATTTTATAGATCGGAACACTGGAGGTAAATTCAGCAATGCTACGTGACTTGTCCAGGCTGAGCAGCTCTCCAGAGGCAGAAACTAGAACCAGATTCCAGCCACAAAATGCCAGGTTAAGGTCACGAAGTTTGTTAGTAAAGTGAAATATAAAGCCCAGTACATACGGGAGAAGTCTTTGGGCCCTCTCCATCAATTTTAGACAGAATCAAGGCAACCTGTATGAGAACTGCTGCACAGTTCAACAGATGCCTCTAAGTACCAAAGATCCTTCTTCTCAGGTCTGATATTGAATCTGTGACCACAGATAATGTCGTCACTGTTTTGAGAACAGGAGGTCCCATTACCTACCTCCATGCTTTGCAAGAATTCAGCCACAGGCTATACTTTACTCTCATCATAACAAGATAAATGAATCTGACTGAAGTTGATTAAGGAGGTACACTGAAGATAAAAAGCAAAGAAACATTTTTACAAGCATTTCATCCCATTACCTTAAAGGTTAAGTTTCAGATTAATTTACAAGAGTAGTGACAGAATCATAGGATTTCAGTGAAAATCAAATGGGTATACCTTTAAAAAGAGATCAATTCAGCAATACTAAGTCAGGCAAGCATGCAAAATTCAGGGCAAAAAAAAATTCAAGGCCTGGTTCCCAAATAAATATCCCCTACCCCCACCCCGCCCCAGGAGAAGGTTGGATTTGATGATACTGAACAGAACCAAATGAATCCGAAGCTGAACAGGACACTGAACCAGCAGGCCAACTTAACTCCCTCTTTCCATAAAAGAGGAAAGTGGGCAGGCATTAACTGTTCAGGTGCCGCCCCTAGATTAGGGTTAAACACAGGTCTAGTTCCAGGCACCTTGTGCAACTACATATTACCTAAAATACCAGGAGGTAAATATCCAGAACACATTAGGCCACCAATTTAAACAAAGCATTTCAAGACTGATACACAGCATGGGGGTGAAGTTAATAACAGCACAGCAGCACGTTTCACTATTTAAGAGATTAAATGCAAAGAAAGGATCTCAAAGATTTTAATACTCAGTTCTGATAAACACAATCATGTTTTCATCCATTTTCTGATGTGTAGCAAAATGTACTAGCTTAAAAAACATTCATTCTGCAGCTTTCCCCTACACTTCTTTTGCCTTTCAAAACTGAGCAGTGGGTATTTTTATGTAATATTATATGTACATTTTAATTACAAGTTTTAGGAATAAACAAAATCCATGATATTTCGGTAACTCATAGTGTACTTATAAAATGAAAAGCTCTCTATCAAAATACACTCTTCACTGGGAAAAAAATAAATAAAACAGACAAATGGATCTACACAAAGTAAAAATCAACTTTGGCAGATTTCAGTGTAGGACAGTCCATAGCAAGCATATTTGCCCTTATTCCCCTAGAGCGGTTCATCTTCCAATTTAAGATTTTTAAAATATTTTTAATTGAGATTATTATGTTGACATTTGTTTCTCATTCCACATCATCTTCAGCCAAGCTCTGAGCACTTACAATTCTCTGAAAGAGGAAAAAAAAATTTTTAACTTTTAAAAAGCATAAGCATTTAATCAGGATTCTAAGTTCAACATAAAATGCTCTTTGTAGTCAAAGAATCAAATCTTGCTAAAGTTTACCAATTCTGAGATTTATCTCAACATGAAATGCTGTACATTATCTAAGAAAATGATGACTGACAGTCTCATTTCAAAATTCAAATTAATAAAAGAGGCAGAACATGATATTGTGCTACATTAGCCAATTACATAACTAAAACCAAAATGGATTTAAGATCTCTTCTTACTCCTACGCAAACTAAAAATACGGATTAATGCTAAGAACACTGATCAGTCTGTGCTTCAAACACTTCCCTTTTTGGCCTGGAAATGCTCAAAGTCACTCTATGACGAAGGAATACAGATTCTGAAATTAACATTTTGAAAACATTTCCAGATAACATGAGACAAGTTAACTGAGTGAAAAAGGTCCTCTTTAATAGAGAGGTATTCAGGCTTCATCCTGAATCCATCCATATTTCAAGACATCACTGTCAGGTCAATTTTCTAAAAGCACTATACCATGCCGCTTTTCAAAGTGCAAATAATGTTAGACAGAGGAATCTGATATAGACTGGGAACCACGGGAGTAGAAATGAGAAGGACTAAGGCCAAGTCCCTGGGTTTTCCACACTGTCCCCTAAATCTTTGGGACTTTCTTTTCTTTAGTCCCTTTCCAATCTAGTTGGGTAAAGATCAGTTTGAAGAATTAACCAGTCGTTTTACTAATTTTTAATCACACCAAATGTGGAAATTAACACATGTAACAGACATGCTAGTCCAAAAAGTAGATTCATTTAGGCTCGAGAAGGATTAAAAATGAACAGAATGAATTTTAATGAAGTCCTTAAGTTATGCTCACCTTGAATACAAATGGTGTTTTGAACTATTCAGTAGGGATTTGGGGGTATAGTCAAAATAACTCCAAACTCAAAGCCCACCCTGGCAGTAGGAGAGGTACTGGGGCCTTTACCTAGACAAGTGAGGTAGAGGGAGGCCAGGGTCCTTTATGACCTAATTCCCAGGCCATGGTACCTTGGCTCCTCTGTCCTGTCACTCCCCAGAGCTGAATGTGTGGTCTCACAAACAAGTAGGGAGAAAGTTAGCTTTAGAAAGTAGCTGAATGGCCTGAATTTTGGGCTTTGAATATTACGACCTGAGATTTAACTCTAATAGACACACGAACAGATCCGCCGCTTAACTAGAGCACAATCGCTATATCTTACGCCCAGTCATTTGGCTGTTTTTCTATTAGGAAATAAAACTTCAAGCACTGTTATCTTGAGTACTATTTTCATTATATGGATGAGTTTCAGGATTCCACCATGTTCGCTGGGCTCATTTTTAAATGCTTATGTCCCTAAACATTTAATTCTCAGATTCTACTCACTTTTATTTCATAACATTTCAAATCCTTACCTGGCTAATTGTGGGAAGCTTAGTCAGAAGCATCTGGAACACCGGTGGTGGCAGAGTTTGCTGTAACACCTGCAGTAACTGCTGTGGCTGTCCACACACAGCAATTGCATTTGTCAGATGGTCTACACCCTTCTCATATTCACCTGGAAGATTCACATAAAAATAACGCATAACCTGAAAAGCCTTTACCTTTGACAAGAATTCAACTCTAAAGTCTTCACTGTATCTCTAAGTGACACTGACCAAAAACATCATGCGAGTAAAAACTTGGAAATAACTTGTTGTACACTTATGTAACAGAATATTATGAAGCCATTAACAAGGATGAATCAGATTATATGTATTGATATGAAGTCTCTCCAACACACATACAAAAGTGGGGGGCTTAAGGTGCAGAAATATCCAAGTATATTACTATTTATATACTCCGAGTATTTCTGGAAGATTACATAAGAAATTGCTAACAATGGTGCCTTTCTATGTAAGGAGAGAGAACTGCAAGATTGGGTGGGGAATGAGGTAGAAAGGAGACCCAGTTTCACTTTAACCCCTTGTACTATTTGTTACCACACAAGTTCAAGAAAAAAAATTCAAGGGATGTTAACAGGCAAAATGGTCATACTAATGGAAATGGCAGGAAGAAACAGGTAACAAAACAGTGATTATCTCTGAGTGACAGGATTTATTTCCTTTTTATGTACCTACAAATTTCCTACACTACTTTTGAAAGAAAAAACACATAAGGTTTATAGTTTTTGAAGGTTTGCTTAACTGAATTTTAAGTACCTGTCGCGTGGTCCTTATTCTCAGTTAATTCCATTTGAAATCAAACTCCAAAAATTGTCCCAAATTCTCAGAGCAAATGAACTTTGCACTGTTAAACATGGTTTTAAATTAAGTATTCCTCTATATAGAACTTTTCTATGCAGGAAATCCTTTTAATGTATCATACTGAAAAACCTCTATTGGAAACGGTTTTAGAGCAGTTTAAGGTTTTCAGTAAAATTAAGAGAAAGTACAGAGATTTCCTATAATACCCCTGGCCCACCTGTCCCCACAGTCTCCCCATTATCAACACCTCTCACCAGAGTGGTGCATCTGTTACAATCAATGAACCTACATTGACACGTCATTATTGCTCAGAATCCATTATTTACACGAGGGTCACTCTAGGTGCTGTACATTCTACGGGTTTGGACAAAAGTGTAATGACATGTATCCACCATAACAGTATTAGAGTATTTTCACTGCCTTAATATAAATAACTACTAACATTTACCATGTGCTGGGGGCACTGTTCTTGGTGGTTTTTATGAATAGGTTCACATCATTTTCACAACAATCTTTAGGTAGGTATTATCCTCATTTCGTAACTGAAGAAATGGAGGCTTAGAGAAATTAAGAAATTTGCTTCAAGTTATTAAGCCCAGGGCCTCTTAACTTCAGAACCCCAGCTTATATTACTAAACATCCTCCCTAAACTTTTCTTTATGGGAAGACCCACTATAAAGCAAATTAAGGATACCACAAAAACTGCTGTGCTCTGAGTCTTTATGAAAGTAACTTGTGACTACCAAAATGTCTTCAGACTGTCCCTACTTATTTACATTTCCCACCACAGACTGGTTCAATGTCATATCCTACTTCCTTGTCAGGCTTGAGGGCACCAAGTATGTCTTGGGGAATGCCTCCACCAACAGGCCCCACATGCTTGACTCTGCCAGCTGCTGACTGCTGCTCCTGGTGTTCCTTCCAGGATCTTGAATCCGACATATGATAGTGTGTTTCTTATTCCACTAATTGGCTGCTGTCGAAAGATTAGGAAACCTCTTGGGTAAAGTTTGAAGCTGACGTGTCTGATGGTACCTGCGTATGGGTAAAGGTTTCCAAAGATTTTCTTAACCTCTCTGAATCTCCACTGCCACTTTGGCAGACTACAAATGTCCTGTCCAAACACTGGTCCAGGAGACCCTTGTGTTGGCTGGGTGTGGCAGCCACCATCTTGACCTGCTCAGCTAATTCCTTTCCTGAGGATTGAAATTATGTCATAATGATGCCCATCACAAGAGATCGACACACAGTTGTGCAGTGATCCAGCTGATGGTTGGTGATCAAGTGGCTGGCTGACATATTGTAGTCGGTTCCTGCTTGTGAAGAGATATCATTAAGGCCTCAAATCTCTTCCGAAGCTGATCAGCAGTGGCAATTATCTTCTACAGATCCAGCAACAATGCTGAACAACTCTGTATATCCAGGATACATTTGGGAATTGGCACAACTTCAATCACATAAACTTGTCATCTTGAGCTCCCTTCCCTGATGAAGTGGATGCTACCTTTGCTGACCACATAGCTGGTCATAAATGGTACCTCTTTTGTTAATAATACAGTAGTTTCCCCCTTATCTGCAGTTTCATTTTCTGTGGTTTCAGTTACCTGCGGTCCAAAGTATTAAGTAGAAAATTCCAGAAATTAACAATTCGTAAGTTTTAAATTCTGAGTAGTGTGATGAAATCATGTGCCATCCTGCTCCGTCCTGCCTGGGATGTGAATCACCCCTTTGCCCTGCGTCTCCCACTAACCCACCTGTTAGTCACTTAGCAGCCACCCTGGTTGTCATGGTATCAGTGTTTGTGATCAAGCAGCCCTTATTTTACTTAGTAACACCCAAAGCACAAGAGCAGTGGTGCTGGCAATTGAAATACGCCCGAGAGAAGCCGTGAAGCGTTATGTATGTCCAGGGAAAAAAGTAGTACACACAGGGCTGGACACTAGCCACCGTTTTTCAGGGATCTACTGGCGGTCTCGGAACATATCCCTCTTGGATGAGGGGGAACAGCTGTACCAAGAGTATCGAAAGCATCACATGATCCATCTTTTATGGGGAGATCAAATCCAGTGTTACAAGACTGAAGCAGCACTGCCTTGGTGCTGAGCAGAATGTCTGACTGTTAGGGGCCTGAAATGTTTCCCCGATTGGTCACTATCTTGTCTTCTGCACTTACAGACGTTTTGACTGGTTCACCTATTTACTTTTTTTTTTTTTTTAGCTGAGCCATCCTGCTATTTACTTACTTTTAATCTTTTGTAGTTTATTAGCAACTTGAATACAGGGAATTGGGCCATTTGTAACTCTTTAGGTGAAATTGAGCAAATTCTAATTATAATATGGCAATAAACTATTTCTTGGGCTTGGTGAATACAGGCACTGGGAGGCTGGCCGGCCTGGAGAGGGCACAGAAACTCCTCATTGCCCCCACCCTCCACGCCTTGCCCTATGCATCTCTTCCATCTGGTGCTCCGAGGTGTATCCTTTATAATAAGCCGTACACAGTTTTCTGACTTCTGTATAAGAGTGTGACCAAATAAGGAAATGATTATTGATATATGAAGAGGAACTGACTCAGAAAATTTGAAAGAAAGATAGAGGTATTCAAAGTGCAAAAGGCAGAACTCACTAAAAAGCTGAAATAAATGACTCTGGTCTTCTGTATGGGCTTCCATCAAAGGACTCAACAATGGCTCCACTGACTTAGAAACTAAGATGTTGCTTGGCCACTGAATACTCACATCAGCCAATGAATTTACAGGCCATGAAGGGGTTACATGGTTGCTTGGGGACAGTAATCCTGATTATTAAACAAAAATAGAGCTGCTACTAGAATGGTATGTGTAGAACACAGGGGATCCTGAGACACCTAATACTTCAAAATACACTGCCAACAGTTTATAAACAACCACAGCAACTCAGTGCAGGTGAAACCATTTCCTCTCTGCACTTGCAACTTGATCTCATTCACACATCCTGAGATGAGATCTTGCTCAGTTAATGGAATATATGCATGGATGAAGGAGACCTTGTCAAGCAATGACGTTCACTGTCCAAATCGCTTACCCTTTCACCTGGATGTTGACCTTTCCCCTAATTCTACCTCTGGCTGGGCTGGTCATTTCCACCAGAAGAAAGGCAGTTTGGCAGCTGAGTTGTTAAGTAACTCGCTGGGTGTGTTGGGTTGAAGTGTGGAATGTGAACTTGGAAAAAAAGACCAACTCTTCCCTGTCCCTCCTTGTCCTTCCCCCACCACTGTGGGTAACTGTCCTGCTCAATCTGGATCTAACAGCTCAAATCAGATAGACAGATGGCTATAGTGCTAGTTCTCCAAGATAATCCAAATATATGTAATTAGGAGTACACCCTATTCTAATATCTTAATATTAGTAAATTAATTTAAAATAATTTTGGGGTGTTAGTAGAAAATTTTGATAGTATAAATAGACATGATGAGCATGAAGAATAAAATTTACTTGAGAATTTTAATGAATGAATTAGTTCTCAAATGTGTCAATCTGATCATTTTAATTTCACAACAGGAATTTTTTTACATATTGCGCTATGACTATATTCTCTAAACTACTTAAAAGTAACCTCATTTGTGAGATTACTTATTATCTTTTCTATACCATCTATCAAGTAAACATAAAACTGTCAAAATATAATATGGACAATGATAATGCACAAGAACATTCATTTCTAGAGCCTGTCTTAAATAACATAATCCTCACATTAAATGCCCAAAAGCTTGTCTTGAAATACAGCCACGTGCTGCTTAGTGACAGGGATCATTCTGAGAAATATACGCTGTTAGGCAATTTCATCGTTGTGCGAACATCACAGAGTACACTGACCAAACCTAGATGGGCTCACCTACCGGACACCTCGGCTCTACAGTAAAGCCTATTGCTTCTAGGTGTATAGCGTGTTACTGTACTGGATACTGTAGGCAGCTGTAACACAATGGTATTTGTGCATCAAAACATTTCTAAAGGTACTGTAGTTTTATACAGCTGGCAGCCTAGATTTTGTAGGGGAGGAAAACAAAAGTTTAATAACCTGTATACCTCCTGCATACATGAGAGACCCAGAAAAACTGGAGAACCTCACCAAAGGGCTGAAGACACCCCCTTAAATACCCTCTTCAGCAGAAGATAAAGGATGATGTTGGAGGTGAGGGATGTCACTCATGGGAGTTGTCTTCAGGACTGGTGAGTTTCTAGAGCTAAGGTCATCCCCCTTTGCACGGTATAGGGAGGGAGATGCCCTTACAAATGTAAATCTTTTACAAAGGGCAATTTCTACTAGGTTTTCAGTGTTTCCCATGTCTCCATTTTTTTAATATTAACAAGCTTAAAATAATCCTTATGCAAACCAGACATTATTTTGGGGTGATGAATTCTGTTCCCCTACAGTTTACACCAGCATCGCAACAAACATGTGAGTAATGCATTGCACTAACAAGATGGTATAATGGCTACAAAGTCACGAGGCAATAGAATTTTTCAGCTCTAAGATAATCCTATGGGAACACTGTTAACTATGTGGTGCATCCTTGAACAGAACATGTGATGCATGACTATAATTAGCCTTTTTAAGACCAAGCCATACTGAAACCCGGCCCTAATGCTGAAACCAGACCCTATAGTTTTTTTCCTATTTTCTTTTCTTTTCAGTGTCTCTCAGGAGATAACAGCAGGCCTCCTTCACAATGCCCCAGAGACCACCAGACCAAGGATCAGGATGGCCCCAGGGGGGGCTCACCCAGGCACAGAGAGCCAACAAATAAAGTCCCACCAGCCCAACAGGTGGCCAGAACCAAAACCTGCCTCTAGACAGAACCTTTGTGTGCAGACTGGTTCCTTACAGATGCGAAGAGTGCCGGGCACCTAGATCTCACCCAACCAGACCCCGCCAACTTGGAATTCCTTTATGCTTTCTTTCACCTTTCCCGTTCCTACCTTAGATGGCACTGTTCCAAGACTGTCCAATCAAGGCTCTCACATTAGAATACATAAATATGTAAAGTTTCTCCTTACCTTTATCTTCTAAATTTACTCCAAGTTTTATTTGGGGAGACTGATCTGAGCCTCGTCTCCTTGTTTGGCTGCTTGATGAGTAACACTTTTTCTCATGAAAAACCTGTTGCCTCAGACATTGGTGTCTCTGTGCTCAACGGGCAACAAAACCACCGACTTTGTTCGGTAATAATACTATACCAAAAAAGCCCCTTATCACTATAAATTTACATCAGTGTGAAGAATACTACCCAGGTTTCTAGTCTTTTAATGACTATTAAAGAAAAGAACCCCATCAGCCCAAAATGGCATCAGTTGTGCTAAAAGCCCATGACACCATGCCTAGATTTAGTACCTGATGTAACTGCAATTTCAACCTCTCCTAGAAACAATCTTAATGAACCAGTCTGGAATATTCTGGTACAGAACCAGTAAGGAAATCTGTCATATAGACCCATTTCCATTCTCCAAGCGAAAGAAAAGGCAATCTACATGATAAAAAGCCTTCCCTTTCTCTTCTTCCAGAGAAAAGATGTCCTAAAAAAATCCCTTGCTTTTCTTTCACTAAGCGCTCCCTTGCACTATCTACCCTGCTGCCTATAAAAACCTCCCCTTCTGTATACCTGTTGGAGTGAGTGCCCTTCTGGTTGCTAGATGGGATGCTACCTGATTCATGAATTGCTTCACAAAGCCAGTTAGATCTTCACATTTACTTGGATGAAATTTTTTTTTTTCATGACTATTACCTTGGGCTAGTAGCTCTTCACCAAGCTGTATTTCTTCAAGGAAGAATTTCTGAACAGCTTCAGCATCTTTAAGGTCAGGTAACTGCTTGGAAGTAAAATATTTAATAATTGATAACAAAATTATGCCAGGAGACATACCAATACATAGAAAAAGTCATGCCACTAAAAATAAAACAAAAAATTGAAAAGCGCATTCTAAAATAATTTACTCTTCAACAGCATTCACAAGGATTAGTTTAGTATCTATATACACTGAAATGAATACAAGAAAAAAATATTTATTGATCAAAACTGGTATTTGAACAGTACTTTTAGAAAGCTGTGAGCCAAACCTAAAATAAAAGGGCTACAAATATCTCTACCATAAAATACGCACTTTACCATTTACACTATTTTTTATCACATTATAGATTTTTATGCAACTGTAATCAATTTGTTCTATTCCATTATTATTTTGTATACATTTTAAATGCATATAAAAGATTATTTTAAAATGGCAAAGAATATACCATTGAAAAACATGTAATTGCATAATCATTATGTATTTATTGGTCACTTGAGGTACGTCTAGGTTTTTTTGCTATATAAATATTTATTATAATTATAAGCAGCTTTATTTAAATAAGTTTGCATTTGTTTTTGTTTTCTAGTTTGTTACACATTACCAGGCTGAATGATTATGGTAATATATAATGCCACCAGCTACTTGACTTGTCTTTTTAAAAAAGGTAAACCTACTACTGAAAATTCCTTTTTATCTAAAACCCTTGAGTTCTATTAACGGAGGTTTATGATTCTTGGATTATATTATGTACACTCCTATTATCCAATGGGGGTGAAAAAAGTTTTAATTTCTGAAAGTGAAGGCATCTTTCATCGACTATCCTAGCATACAGCAAGAATTTGATTATACTGGGATCTGAAAATACAGCTATACATCTTTATATATATATATATATATATACACACACACACACACACACACACACACACACACACACACACATATGTATATCTATTTTCCTATATCTTTAAAAAGGTTACTGAAAACATAATGAACATATTACACATTTCAGAAAGATATTTTGGACATAATAGAAATAAGCGGTTGTCTCCTAGTTTCACTTCATTATTATCATGTCCAATCAGTTAGGTGTGTTGATTATTCAACTGTTTCAAAATAACAAAATGCAACATTTATTGATTTAATTTTTCCTTACTTTAATGAGCTTCAAAAAGAACCACCTACTGATCCAGTACTCCAAGTCCTGGAAATCCAGACAACGGAATAAAAAAAGCTATGTGCACAATTATTAACATTTACTTATTTAACTAACTTACACATGTCACAGAACATTTTTTTATCAAGCAGATAAACCTGTGTTTATCTGTATTATCTGTAAACCTGTATTTAAAATAGTCACGAACACAGGATCCATAAAATGAAAACAATGAAAAGATTTATATCTACATTTACATATTACAACTAGCTAAAATTTGTCAAGTGATGGGATTCTGGATCAGAATAATATATTTTTTGAAATGAAATGAATACCATGTGGTTCTTTTAAAGGAAAAAGAATGTTTTATTTTGAAGCAGGTGAGGAGTGACAAATTTCTAACCTTCTGGTGTACATGTCTTCTGAAGACTATTATCGTATTGACCATTAACGACTGCTCAGGCAGTAAGCTGTCTGCTGTTACGACCAACAAAGGGGAAATAATGAAGGACAGGATAATCTATGACTGAACTCAGTTAATTATTCCTAAAAATAACAAACTATATTTTAAAATAGATCAATGTCCGATATCAGCTAGCTTTCTCAAAATACATATTTGAAGTAGAGTTTTAAATAATTATTTCTATAAAATACATAATACAATCTTAACAAAAAACAGATTATTACCTTAGAAAGTCCAGCTCTCTCCTTGGCAAGCTTTTGTTTCTTTCTTCCTGCAAGAAATGAAATATTTTCATTTAATCATTATTAAAATGGGAATCAAAAGAAGTCTACCTGCTGAGGTAATCATTCATTCTATTTCCAAAACATTACTGACTCTTTGGCTCTCTGCTTCTCGGGTCTCCTTGTGAGTTGTCAAGGTCACATGAATAGTCTTGGTCAAGAAGCTTTGGGCAACATGACATTTCTGGGAAGATCCTTTTCCTTCCCCCGGAGTAGCACAATCAGCCATTTTACAAGACAGAGAAGCTCTAGCAGCTGGGTCTCTAGAGCAATCACCAGGAGCAGAGCAAGCCTTCCCTCCTCACCTACACAGGACCTGAAACCTGAGTATGAAGCACTGCTGTTAGGGAGTTTTATTACCGAAATAGAAGACTCTATTTATTGAATGTTGAACACTGCCTGGCATTCTTAAGTGGGGGGAGGGGGGCAGCAGCATTTGCAAGTTTTCTTATAAATAAATAAATGTAGTATTTATGCACTTGGCGAAAAAAGGGGGGCAAATACCACGCAGAAATGCACTACTAAATTCTTAATTCAACCACTGCTGGCTAGTTAAAGGAAAAAAACCTCTGCCTACAGTATGTGAGTTACTCTGTCTTGTTTTTGCTATGAAACAGCAATATTACATAAGTCAAAGGTGTTTAAAATCTTAATCATCACTTAGTTCTTAAAACTAAACAACAGCATACTAACAGTATTTAAATTGCCAATAACTGTAAACCATATGAAAGGATGTTGGCACAGAGAATGCACAGGCTTGTTTCTATGCTAGCTTGTCCATTTACTGCAACTTGGCCAAGTGACAGTAAACTGTGCCTTACTTTCTCCATATGTAACATCGGTTCAAGAATAGTTATTGTAAAAATATATGTTAATGTATGTATTTTTTAACGGTGCCCGGTTTATAACGTGTCATATAAGCATTTGTTATTGATATAGTTCAATATCAACTCCTCAGCTAAGGAGTTGTGCTATATTAAATACCTAAAGTCACTAAAGACTACCAATGACATGGAGACTAGCCATGTGGCACAGCTAAGGTAAGTCTCTAACACTTGTTGCTTGGATAACTTTGGGAAAATAAATCTCTTAACTCTCCAAAGATAAGGCATCCTTAACTTTACCACCGTGAGAAACAAAAGCCATAAAACAAGCAAATGTCCTCTACAAATCCAAGTCCCAATGCATGACTGAAGAGGCCTATTAATTTACCACGGTCATGGAGTATTCTTTTCTTATCTAACATCACAAACTGGCTTTAACCGCACCAGTATCTCTTGCCAACCCTAGCCTCCACAGTAGGTCAAGTGCGACTACAACTCTGAAGCTTAGTACAATTCTAGCAGTTTCAACAGAAAAATATAGGCTAAAGTTGATCTTACATATGAATTTGAAGAGACTGCCTATTTTTCTACCAAACTACCTTTCCTAGGTGTTCATCACTGGGCAACTAACGGTGGGGAAAAAGAACATATAATATATTCCACCCTCAATCTGCTTAGGGGTTTCTTTCATTTGGCCATCTTTAGGCAGAAAATAACGAATGATACCAGACTATATTAGCTAATTACTAAATATCATGGCACAGACTAGTGCTGGAAGGAGAGTACTAAGACGAGAAGAGAAACGGAAGACTTCACGGAGGAACTGGACATGAAGACAAGGAAAACTTGGATGTTAAGGATAAACACTCCCTAAGTCTTTGACGCTACATGCCAAGACACTATCTAAATGTTATTAATTAGCTTATTCAATCCTCACAGTAATATTGAGACATGTACTATTATCATCCCCATTTTACAGATGAGAAAATTTACCACAACTAGTAAGTAGTGTAGCGGCGATTCAAACGGAGGCAACTGAGTTTCAGAGCGCGTGTGCTCCACCATTACTCTGTACTGCCTCTATAGGCTGCAGAAGGGAAGACATTCCCATCAAAAATAAAAGGCACCTCAGAAATGAACATGCCAAGTTTGTAGAATAAACACAGAAATCAATTTGCTAAGCCAGAATTTAGGTAAAACAACAAAAATGATAATGAAACCCAGGAGAGAGAAACTTAGTTTCCATTACCATCCAATTTTATAGTTGTTCTTCTATGGGGTAGAGAAGAGTGTGTGATTGTTGCTGAATGTGATACAGTTACCAACTTTAAAAATTGTTTAATTGCTTTACATTTCTAGCAATAAGATTAAAATTCTGACTTTAGCTTCATTAAGACAACTGTTACATTAACTTATTTTTCAAGTATAGTACCATATAGTAACTCTGTGATAAAAAGACAGATGGTAACAGACTGGAAAACCAAGTTACACATTCCATCAGCAAAATCAGGCCTTGACCCAGTCAGCATTTGCTAGAAATTAGTCCAAGCACCACCATGTAAACCTAACAAGTCAAAACAAATTTGTCTACTTTAAAAAAGAAACATAAAATATAAGCTTACAAAAGCCCCAAATTTAAATCATTCGTATAGTATTCATTTAAATAAGATTACTAAATGTATTTTAAAATGACGAATCATTTTACACAGTACTGTATGTGAAACAAACCTGTAGTTAGCACTAAAATTTGGAAGTCGACATTCACTTATTACTGATTACACTGATAAAAATTATGCTTTAAGGGGCCTCATAATCTGCTTTAATGGAGGACAAAAATATTTAAATTACTTCAAATCCCAGATCTAACTTCAAACCTTATTTTAAACAACTTAAGCCTCTTTTCCTTAAACACAAAAAAACAAAATTAGGTAAATTAACAAGCCTGATTTGAGAACTCTACAGATGTACACATTCTATTGGAAATCAGGCTAGAAAAACTCAAAATTAACTACACTGAAATCAATTTAATTCCACAAATGCAAGACATCTTCAAGTTCTTAAAATCAGCCCATCGTTAAATAGGTTGCAAAACTACTGTGAATTAAAGTTTTAATTGCTTAAGAAAATACCAAATAAATTATATTTATTAAAAATCTTTAGTATTCATCAATTACCACGTGCCAGGGACTGGACTAACTCTAACTTTATTATACCATTTTACAAGAGTGAAACTAAAGCTTGAAGTTGGTTGCCCAAGGTTACTCAGCTAATAATTCAAGCCTGACCACTTAAATCATTAGGCTACTGCTCGTGAGAGAAAAAAAACTATTACCTGAAGATGATGGAAAAGGAATTGTGAAAAACAAATTTCTTGTCTAAAATGATAATTTTTATGACTTCTTCAACCAAACATTAGTTTTCTCAAGGTTTTCAGCAACAGGGTTGTGTTTCCAAAGAAAGGATTAATCCATTCTTTATAGAGCTAAGCATCTGTAGCCCCCCTCCCCAACTATTTTTCAAACTATAGGAAAATAATCTAAATTCCAGTAGTTACACTTACAGCCAGCATTAATTGGGGGGCGGGGGGAGCTCTCCTATGTCAGGCATGGTGGTGAACACTTCACACATCTTACTTAATCTGCACAAAACCGAACAGAGGCAGGTGGCATTACCTGATTTTACAAACTAAGAAAATTAAGATTCAGAAAGCCCAAGACTATACTGCTTATCTGTGACTAATCTGGACCTGAAAACTCAGTGTTGAATCCAAAATAGTATTCTTTCCATGAGACTACCTAACCATAAATTAAATAAATTACCTCTATGTCTCTGCCCTCCTAAAACCTGAGAGCGGGAATTCGATGTCATATGGTACGAGAGAAGCATGGTCTAATATGGTAGTCACGAGCCACATGGTTCAGGTGGCTACTGAACACCTGAAACGACTTATTATAGCTTAATTAAATTGTACGTATGAAATAGGATCATCACTTCTTTATACTTTCTGGGCTTTAATAATTTACATATTAATTTTAACTTAAACTGTTTCGAGTCAACAACCTAGCTAAGTTACAAAACTATTTCTTATTGCAACAAATTTGCTCTTCTAATTGCAAATCAGTACGCCTCCGAAATTCAAAGATCACAGTGGTTTTGGTGACACCATTTCCCTCTTATAAATCTCTCTTAAAAGATGTCGCAGGTATGAAATAAGACTGAACCACGTAAGAAGTGCAGTCCTTTGGACTCCCCTGCAATTTCTATAGCATTCACTCAAATCTTGGAAGCATTTACAGCGAAGCTACCAAGAGGGTTTAAGAATGCAACGATGATACCGCGTTGGATTTGCGGACTAAGTCTCATGCACAAATTCGTAAAATATAAAAAAAACAAACACCACTTTCCAGTTAAAAAATAGGTTTTAAAAGGTCAATTCAAAAAAGATTCCCAAGACCCCAACACACACACACACACACACACACACACACACACACACACACACACTAAATTATAATGCAAACGAGAGTGCATTTACACCGCAAAAATGGTAAAAACAAAATGGGAAAATCGTTCCTCCAAAATGGAGGGATCACGCAGGGCACAGGGCCAGGAGCAGCCCCAGGGGCGCTAGGCAGCGCCCGCACCTCTTTTCGGTTTGCTGCTCGCGGCCGCCAGGCCCTTACCACCACGCGGTGGCACGACACCCCCGGCCCACCCGGCGGGGAGAAGGCTCACTCAGGGTGGCGGCCGCAGTGGTAGGGGCGGAATGCACTCACGTTCTCGCAGCCTGTTCTTGAAGTTGGGGTCACTTCGTCTCTTGCGGTCGAAGTAAATGCAGTACCCGATAAAGAGGGCCCCGCACACACCAGCGGCGATGGCGCTGTTCCTGCCCACCATCTTCTCTCGACCGTGGAGCAGGGCTGGGGGCCGAGAGAGGCGGCCGGCGTCTAACCCTTAGAGCGGACAGCGCCGCTCAGACTGACGCCCGCTGAGAGGGAATGGGACAGGCCGAGCACGCCACTTCCGGCCCGTCGTCCGAGGCCCCCGAGCCGTCTGCGATAGTGCCTGAGTAGAATCCCCCGGGCCGTCTGCAGCAGTGCCTGAGCGTAGGCTCCCGTGTTGCTTATCGCGCCTGCGCAGGGGGCTTAAGCGCAGTCTGAGGACCTTGGAGTGCTGTGAGCGTTAGTGTCTGGATTTTGCAAGTGCCACGCACTTCCTTCAAAACCGGAGCCCGACGCTTTGACGGGCGACCGTGGCTGCTGTGCACACACTCACGAGACTGTAGTCTGACAGCCTGGCTGTATCAGAGATGGAAGGTCGCTGACGACAAATGCTTCACTTTATTTTTGCATAATAAAAGCAGCCTGTGACTAGTTTGAATTTAACTGAATATGCTTTTCAAGTTCAGTCACAATCCATTGTGCAACAAGCACCTTGATCTAGTGATTAAATGTCAAAAGAATGTCACAACTGTGGTATCATGATGCGTGGAAGAAAATTAAATGGAACAATTGCTGGAAAATTATATCCGGTAAGAGATTAAAGGGAAAAAATAGAAAACGTGAGTTGTCTTTTAGCCGCAGAAAACATTGCATATGTAATTTAAATGAAAAAAGACAAACCCTTGGGCAGAAAGCAGACAGTAAAGAACTATCTGTAAGATGATGAAGAGCATGAGAAGAATAGGGCAAGGTAATAATTTGGCCTGTCCCTGGTCATGGGAGGGATCCTCTTAAACCCTTGGAATGATAGGAAGGTCTGTGTTCTTGGTGGGCCCTGGTGGTTTATGCCCAGGGGTTGGCCAGGAGGGAAAGACCAACCATGTGAGTACAGGGTTGGCTTTGATCCAGGTGATATCAGCCCTACCTCTGAGGAGCGGGGCGCAGACATTGAGTTTAACCTTGTGGCCTACACAGTGAACCCAAAATAAAAAAACTTTGGAAACAGAATCTGCTGCCAGGGTTGGCAATACTCTGTAGTTACATGTCAGTGAGTGTGCCATGTGATAGGACCCTGAGGTGCTCTGACTAGGGAGGGGCAATGGAAGCTCCTAATTTGGGACTCACCCAGTCTCCCTATGCATCTTTCCCTTCAGCTGGTTTTGATTTGTATCCTTGTGCTGTAGTAAAATTAATCATACCTCTAGCACATTCCTGACTTGTGTCCTTACACCGAATTATTGAACTTGAGGGGGTAGTGGGAATCCCCAAATCAGTAGCCAGCTACTCAGAAGAGTGGCCTGCAGACCCCCCAGATTTGTGATTGGTGTCTGACATGAGGGCAGTCTTGTAGGGGGACTGTGCCCTTAACCTGTGAAGTTTGGCCTACCTGGGTAGTTGGTGTCAGATGTTACTGTAAGGGTACTATGGAAACATAGCTGGAGGCCATACCTTAGTCCACAAGTCCAGGAAAGCCCTTCTGCTTAAATGAAAAGGAAGCTGAGACTATGAAGACTGGAAATTAGATCAAAGGTATGTGAGCATTACCTGGCCTGGGGTGGGGGGCAGGGAAGGATGTGGGGGTGCATATGTACCAAAGCAAATGGTCGAGATCAGAGACTTGCACACAACATAATGACGCAAAGAGCTTTTCCATATTTTACGTTTGGACTCTTCCCATCCCAAAAGGTTGCCAGTGAACTGCAACCGGTAGAGGTGTCCTGAGCCTCAGGTACACACCTGAGAAACTGAAAAGACTTGTCCAAGGCCATACAGGTGACAGGCGGTCTGGAACTCAACCTCTTGAAAATATGAGATTATGTGGCCTCTAGATTATGACTCCTGCATTAACAAAGAACATGCCACTCTTCTGTCCCTGTACTGTGCATACTAAATATGACATAAGCATTGAGGTCACTACCATGAGGTTCAACAGACCAGGTAACATCTTTATACAAAGTGCAGTTAGAGCAACATCCACTCTACATTTCTAAGTATCTGTTGTAAAGCACGGGTGAGTGTAAACTCCTGGAATAGAAACAGCCTAGACATGCATTTATGAGTGGAAGCATTTGCGGGTTGTGGAATGACCTTAGTGGTTCATCACCAGTGTTTTTAATAAAGTAGAATAAAAAATATCAGACACCAAACACTTAAAGTAAGGTCCAGTACTGTCATATGAAACTTTTGTGTCAGTTAAATACATCCACGTACGTACTGGTCACAATATAAAATTAAAGCTATTGTATATCATAGTCAAAAAAAGTGTGAAACCACTGATCTAGTCCAAGCCCCCTATTTCACCCATCAAGGTATTTAGATAGAGAAGTTGAGAGGCTTGTCCAAGGTCATGTGTGCACAGCCACAGAGCTGGGTCAAGAATCACATGCCCTTATACCCTAACCAAAAGGAACACTGTTTAAGGACACTAAAATTATATAACTTTATATCTACTATACAGCATACATAAAATATAATGTATACTATAAATAAAATAGTAAAATTATATTCTGTATCTATAGTCTATATAGCCTATAGATGATGCATCTTTACATAAATCTAACTGTATATGCACAAATGCTCAAGAATATCAGTCTTTACTGAATCCTACTTACGAAAAAACAAGGTTTTAAGCACTAGAGGATACTAAGCATCAAATATCCAGTCCCTGGATACTGGAAAATGGATCTCTGTTTCTACAGAGCCACATTGTAAAGGTCCATTAAGTTTGTGCTAAGCTGAAAAGGCAGGATTTTCAAAATAATCAGCAATGACTCGCTGACCCCAACCCCCTTATTCACCTAAGTATATGATGCATGTATCACAGATCTGCCTGCCTCAGTTCAGCCCCCCTTGTTTATCCCACCTCCCCTCCTGGATACAGACCGAGGTTAGTAAGATTTGTGAGTGGGGACACCACCTATGTCATAAGGTTAAGTCTTAGGGAGTGCAATGGTATTCTCCAGGGAATGCAATGATATTCTCACCCCTTGTTGCACGTTATACATTGTGACTTAATTACCAAATTGTATCAATGTTCCCTTTAAATATGATTTTTTGAAAGATTGTTTCATTCTCTAGGTAACATTAATTGAAGAATCACAAGTTTTCATGGAAGACTATTTTTCAAATTAAAAATAGAAATAAAAGGAGAATTCTGCTTTATAGCCAATTTGCCAAGGTTTCAATAATCACTGGTTAAGAATAAGAAATTAGAGCAACATTTCACTGGTTAAGAATAAGAAATTAGAGCAACATTACACATAATGTTTCATATTCTTATTGGTTAGTTGTTAGGTTGATGAAATGTTCACATATACCATCCATAAAAAATCCTGAAACTCAATACAGGGTTCACCACATTTTTATTACCAGTACTCAGTGGAAAAAAGAAAGCTTCAGAATGCTACTTCTGTTTTTTCTGTTTCTTAGTTCGTCCACTTTTCTTCTGTCCTTTCTTTTTCTTCTTGACGAGAAGAGCTTTTTCTCCAATAAATAAACTTTGAGAATGTCCTACATTTTTGGAAGCGAAATTAAGTCCCTTCTTAGGTTTACTGGCATTCTTCAAGCTGGGGTTTGAATTTTGTTTTAATTTTTCTTTATTAACAGAACGCATGACTCTGAGTTTTCTTCCCATCAATTCAGAATTATTTAATTTCAGAGCAAGATGAACAGCATCTGTATTCTGCAATAAAAATCAATATATTATTTCAACCAAAATCTTGTCTGCAAAGAAACTAGTAAAATTGCCACTTTAATGGATTAGAACAGTTTTCAACTTGCATACAGAAACCCCTCCCATCTCCACATCCAAGGAGCCCAATCCCAGTGTTACAGCAGCTGTGCTTGCAGTCTCCTTGTAATCATGCTCCTCACACACGTTCTGCAGGAAGCACTCAAGCTGCCTTGTCAAATACCCAGGTAGTTGACACTTCGTCTTACAATGGTAAGTTACAACCCCATAGGCTTCATTTTTCTCACTTTAAAATGGAGCATCGACTAGCTGGATCAGTCATATGCGATATTTTAAAGCAATGAACATCCTTTTCACAAGGCTCTTCCCGCTGTATCAGATGACTTGAGGGCAAGGAACTCGCTACTACGGTCCCTGAGATGTTGGAATACATGCTTTGCAGGGTTCTGTTAGATCCAAAATTCTATTATTCTTTTATTCTAATATAGAACCAGTATATGATAAAAACCCTGAATATACATGAGATTTTTTAAAGGACTTTACAAGCTTGTCAAATAATAGAAGACAGAGAGCAGAGAAATAGTACGTACAATACAGTAACGATGGACACACAAGCTTGTGACAACCTTTCTTAAAGCTATGCGGTAATACATGTCAAGACTCTTAAAAATGGTCACATATTTTGTCCTAGTTAGTAGTAGCACATTGGAATCTGTCCTAAAGAAGTAAATGCAAAAAGGCAGGCGAACATCTGGAGAAAAAACATAACCACTCCAATTTCATTATTACAGGGAAAAAATAGAGAACACTGCCAACGTGCAACATTTGGGAAACACTAGGGAAAAGGCAGTATAAATTGTTACATTGCTCAATGGAACATGCTTACACAATAGAAAACAACATAAAGCAGGTTGCAAAATTATATGTTCACAATACAGATTCAACTATAAAAAATAAGGCATAAGAAAAAATTGAAAGGAAATGTATTAGTGTTGTGAAGAGAAGAAAAACTGAAGAGCCAGCAGACAGTAATATAATCTAATAGTATATTCTACTGATGTTAGGCATGAAAAGCTGGTTAGTATTTAGTGAACGAAACAGAAACAATTCTGTACAAAGATGAAGATTTTCTTCTACCTGAGTGAATGGTCAGTTCTTTACTCCATTTTATACAAGGTGGAGATTCAGAGAGTTAATGCCTTTAATGTTGACTAAGACGTCATTTAATAAAACTGACATGGAGAAACGGCACTGGAACATCTGCTTAGGTGCAGCTGTAGAAACAGCCCTCTATTATGGCAGGTTATGAGTTTAGTATTCTTAAGATGGAACTTGAGGATGACAGGGATAGTTATGTCTAAAATGTGAAGCAGCAGTGACAAGCCCGCCTGGTGCATTTCAAAGGACAGTGACAATGCATTAGTCTCCCATACCTCAAAGAGCACATAGCCAAACCCTCTGCCAAGGCCTGTAACTGGGTCTCTCACAATCCTTACTGCCACGACAGTCCCACAGTCCAAAAAGTGGTCCTCAACTGCAGAGTCTTCAATTTCTAAAAAAAAATTCAACCAAAGTGAAAGCAAAGCCTGGGAATCGCCTTAGCATGCTGGAGACGTTTAATAATATAGCAAGTTTAGCAGCCCTGTGAAAATTAGTCAAGTTACATTCCACGCTTCTTAGAGTTACTCTGAAAGCAAAACATTAAGTTACTACTCAGTGGTGAGTTCCATTATTTTAACGATAAAACAAGTACTTCATGTGTTTAAGTCAACTTACTGTACGGCAGATTCCCCACAAACACTGATCGCTTGTCCCTCTGAAACACAAAGAGAGTTAATAAACATCACTCAGTGGGGCAGAAGATGGAGTCAGCCTTTCCCTCACCCCACCTATCTGATGGGTCCCCACCTCCTGACAACCACACACCAGTCCCTTGTTTGAATCTGTTTCTTCCAGGGTTTTCCCTGCTATAATGTGAGTGACAGCCATGGGCTTTTGTTCACGCAGCACTCACTCACACCTGGCAGTGCTCAAGAAAGGCACACACTGTTGGGAGTAAAGGGCCAGGCAGCAAGTTTTTCAGTTTTGTGAGCCACTCGCCTCTGCCAAGACAGCACAATAATACCTAAAAAGTGTGGTTGTGTGTTAATAAAACTTTATTTAAAAAAGTATAGGGCCGGCAGAGTGGCGCAATGGTTAAGAACTGGCTTGGGACGCCAGAGGGCCTGGTTCAGATCCCACATATGAGGGCCAGTGACACTGCCCTCT